CCCCCCGGGCTCCCCCTACCAGTCGCCTGTGTCAGGGAGGGTGTTCCATGCATACAGGACAGGATGGAAGCAAGAGTGAAAGTAATTGTGGGAAAGGAGACAGTTTTCACTGATGGAGCAAAGTGGGTAAGGAGCAGCACTGTGAGACAACAATGGGCAAGTAGGGAGAGGTAGAGCTATGAAATGCACCTTGAAGATGAAGACAAGGAGCCTGAACTTCATGTTATGGAAAGATGGATGTTGAGGGAAGTCATTCAAAGACAAGGGCAACCTCAGGACAGCAGATCAGCTACACTGTCTGGAAGGCCAGAAAGGAGGAGGGTACTGTAAGAATATGGAACAGGATGGGGGCATGGATCACAGTTTTAGCTTTCTGGATTAAATTAAAAAATTAGGTCTGAAAATGATGTTGAGGAAAAAAGCAGGATTTGAATGTGGCCTGTATGCTCTGTGCTGAGACTACTGAGATTTGTTAATCTTTGTGGTTACCACTGTCACTTCCCTCATCTTTGGATAAGCTAAAACAAACTGTATCGTGGAACCCAGGCCCTCTGAACATGTCAAACTTTTCCTCCCTGAAGATGTCTCTCCAGCTCACTGCAGAACAGGATTATTTTGGACCATGGCTTTGGAGCTCAATTCTATTATATGAGAGTAAACTGGGTTACAGTAAGGTTGAACCTGACCCAAAATCTTGGCCCATTTTCATTGATGAGGTTGCACCTGGGATGATTTTTCCCTATGAATCCCTAATCTGTGCTGCAAAGAAGCTTGTACTGATAAAAGTGCTGGAACTGTGTATGGATATGCAAGGATCCATGGAAGATTAAATACAAGGAATATGCAAGGTTTATATCCTAGACACTCATGGATATTCTGTGCCTGAGCTGTCTCAATACGTGCACATGTGGCACTTACACTTCTGCTGGTCTAGGGGGAGGCAAAGAGAAGCTCGAATCTAAGGAGATTTATTTATTGGATTTATAAAAAAAGAAAATACTACAAAAATGCAGTTATGCAAGGGTCGGCAGCATACGGCCCACAGACCAGTTCTAGCCTGCAGAACCACTGGGTCTCCAGCCCTTGGAGCTGGAGGGTTTTGCCTGTTTTTGCTCCCATGACCACACTGACACCAGGCAGTAAAGAGCTGTGCTTGAGCCAGGCTGCTTCCAGCTGCTTTTGGGCTGGTGCTGCTTCTCCCCACCCTCCCGACTCTGGTCTGATACAGGCCAGGTAGTTTTGGTGGCATGTCAGTGGGAAGGGGCTTTGCTTATGTCCACAGAACCAAGCAGTGGGGAGCTGCAACTGTGCCACTGACGCTTGGCCCAGCCTCCCGCTCCCCAGCTGCAGGACAGGTGTAGCTTCTAGCCAATGAGGAGCTGAGCCAGGGCTGGGCATCTGTACCTATGCTGCCGATGCTTCTTCCCAGAGCTGCAGAATGGGCGCAGCTTCCAACCAATAGGGAGCTACACTCGGGCTGGGTGGCAGCACAGACACAGTTTGCAGCTCCCCACCAGTTGAAAAGCCAAGGAGCAGGGGACTGGGAGAAGGGTAGTGGTGCGGGCACAGCTCCCAACTGGCCTGCTCCAGTACAGGTACAAGGAAAGCCCCCTGTTGCTGATGTACCACCAAATGCCCAGGTTGGACTGGAGCTGGGTTGTTCTGACCTGCAGCTTTGTAAAATGTTGCTGGCCCCTGCAATTATGCATTAAATCAAGCCAAGAGAATTTCTAAGCCACTGAGGGGAAGGCTGAGCAACCCAGTTTTGCCTTTCTATATCTCGTTTCAATTATTCTTGATTTAATTCTTTCATTTTCAAGGGGGAAAAAAAAAATCACCTGAGCAGTTTTCGGAAGAGATGTTTACGCACAATCAACGATTACCAGATTTAATTATTAAATGAAAGAAAGAGCTGTTTTCAAAATGTCTCTTTCTTGAAGTGATTACCTTTTCCTTAAACAGGCACATTCCAGAAGTTAGTTTAACCACCTGAATTTTAGAGCAGGGCAGTCAACAGAATAAACGGGAGAGTTGGTGGCTTTCTTGGTTTTGATTTGTGTGTGCTTCTGTTTCGTTTTGTAGTTGGGGAGTTCCAGATTTTATAATCCTGGACAAAATGTTAAACAAACAAACAATCCCAGGTTAATCTTTTGGAATGCACAAAATTTAGAACAGAGAACAATTGCAACTGCAATTGTTCGGTACCAAAACAGAACTAGCCCATCAATCACTCCTTTGAAGACAGATATAATAAATAGAGTGTAAGATATCGAAATGGTGCATTTTGGGTCAGCTTTCCTGCTGTTTTGGTTGTTTCAGCCGGACAACCACTATCCCCTCTAGCCTGGTATTCACTCTCAGTCCATCTGCATGAGGGTTACTGGTCATCCTGTATTATAATCAAGGTCACAGCACATAACAGTCAGAGTTGGAGAATGGACAAAGCTGAATCAGCTTTTACCCAGCAAATTCTCATTACAAGTCAATGTCAGACACCATGCCAAAACATCACCAGAATTAGACTTTCAGAGCTTCTCCTAACGGGTTTCTTGCTCTGTTCATATTGCCATCTACAGCAATTACTCTTCCAATCGTCTCACTGTCAACGTGTTACAGAAGGTCAACAACATCTTGCTCAGAAAGACCAAGTTTCATTCCTTGACCACAGGACTCAGCAGGGCACTAATCTTTTAAACACTCTATGGAAGCTTTCATCCAGTGATCAGAAATAAGTGGAAATACATGTCAGGAAGCAACAGCTATGGATACAGTGCTATTCTTCAATGTTTATTTGAGGGCTATTGGTTTTGAAAGTCACCAATTTGCAAACATTAAATTCTGAACAATTCTCCCTGTGTAAATGTCAATACCACAAGCACTCCCCACCCCCATCATGTATACCAGATACAATCCTAGCCCCACTGAAAGCAATGGGAGTTTTTCTACTGATTTCAGTAAGGTCATGATTCCACCCCTCATATATATATCCACGTGCATCTCAGCCCTTGTGCTCTGTCTAAAAACACATATAGATTACTTATTGTAAACGCATCCACGCTGTGGCAGACGGCGATGGAGACAAGACGTGCCCCCCGATGAGATTACAGTCACTGCCAGCGCTGAATAACAGCCCTGTCATTTAGCATTTGTATATAGCGCCCTAGGACTGCGTGTGTGCATGCTGTGGAAGACAATCAAACTGTCTGCCCAAGATTGCCCAAGTTCCCTGCGGTACCGAAAAAATACTCAAAGCCACGTGAAAAGGTGGAAATGATTTTAAAAAGCCGTGGATCCCTCAGAGGTGTCCAAACTGTTACAAAAATCAGCAACAACAATAAGCCTTTTAAAAACCTCAGGCTTGCTCCTTTACCCTGCAGCCCTGGCGGTGCCCCCGCTTTCCCCTTCAGGGCTAGGGAGCATCTGCAGCCGGGAAGGGAGCGGGCCTGCCTGTGAGGCTGCTCTCCTCCTCGCCGAGCCTTCCAGCGGCTGGCTCCAAGCACTGCCCCGGTCCCAGCAGGAGGGTCCCGAGCCCGGCTCCCCGCCCCCCGGCCCCAGCCGCGTCCCCCCCTCGGACCAACTTCTCCCGAGTTGCGAGGGGCTGGGCGGGGGGCGCCTTACCTGGATGAAGCCCCGCAGGGGGTGGAGCGCCAGCGGCAGGGGAGGCCAGCAGCAGTGGGGGAGCAGCAACAGCAGCAGCTCCCGGAGCAGCATCCCGCCTGCGGGCCGAGGGCGCCCGGCGCTCCGCACCTGCGACACTGAACACAGAGCGCCCAGCACAGCGCCGCTCGCACCCATGCCCAGAGCGCGGCGCCTCCCCGCTCCGTCCCGGCAGGGCAGGGCCGGGCCGGGCCGGGCAGGGGGCTTCCCCAGGGACCGCGCACAACCCCTCCCTCGCCCCGGGCCCG